CCAGCCTTGAGAGGACCCCAGGCTAGTCAACAGATTATCTTGGTTCTAAACCAGCCTTGAGAGGACCCCAGGCTAGTCAACAGATTATCTTAGTTCTAAACCAGCCTTGAGAGGACCCAGGCTCACCTTTCTGCACCCTGGGCGTTGCATATGTTGATCTGAGCATTGCACACAAAACTGTAGCGATTCTGAGAAGACTCGTTTAACTGCTTTATGGCTTGGATATCTGGTCTGGACCTAAAAATGAAAAATTAAAAACTGAGATTCTGAACCAAAAATTGCCATAATAATCATATCATTATATTGACTAATTTGTCTTGTGCACAATGTAAAATTAATAATAAAAGAATGACAAAAAATTAATGTTGCCAAAAAATATATATATATATAATATTTGGAACTGAGTAAATATTGTCCAAGGTATTAACATATTATGTTTCATGAATAATATCTACCATTATTATGGCTGTCATATGGTTCATACAAGTTTTCCTCACATATTAAAAACATCCAACATGTGGTTATCATGTGATCATCACATGTCTGACATGTGACCACCCCTTGACTCAAAAACTTACTTAGCATTTTCTATGACATCTGTCATGAACTGCGGGTCCCAGCGGAAGTTGGAGGCAGACGGCACAATGGCGGCGTACAATGTTTGTTTTACTTTAGAGCAAGCACCACTGAAGAATTCTGAATACTTGGCCTGTGAATATATGGATAATTAATATAATTGTATCTGAGTTATGTGGAACAGAAACTATACTTTTAGATTTTCTTAAATCAATGGACAGTGCATACTGCATAATTGGCCTGGGAACAAACAGCCAAATAAATAATCTTGTACCTGAAGTATACCAAACAGAATCAAAACTATTTTTTTTCTAATTAATGGACAGAACATACTGAATATTTAGACAGAAAAGAAATATTATAAATTTATTTAAAATACATCTGATTAGATAAAACAAAGTCAAAACTTCATATATTCCCTTTAATTAATACAGAGCATAGAATTACATGTGAAACATTATCTGTGATCAGTATAAGGTTTAAGGCCGATTTTTCTAAGATTCTTACCTTCAAATAGCTACAGGAGGTATACAAATCATACAGATACGCCAGAATACATCGCTCTGCCGAGGAACAGTCAGAAGGATTGTTAACATGTTTCACAACTCCACACAGTCTGTAATGCAAATCATATTTTTTAAATCATAAATTTCTTAATAACGTAAAGTAAATGAGAAGACTGTATAATCACACCATAAATGACCTACCTCAAATAAGAGGACCTATTAACCAAAAGTATATGTGATAAACATGCTTAACCCTTAATGAGATGGCTAATTATCATGCATTGAATGCATGAACTAAAATATATCAACTTCTTTGGGATGAGGGATGAAACTGCAATTTTGTGAATAAGTCGTGGGGTCCAGCAGGTTGCCAAAGCCAATAATATTTTTGGCTCCCAAAAAGTTGGAAATTTGCTGATAGTCAGAAAAANAAAAAAAAAAAAAAAAAAAAAAAAAAAAAAAAAAAAAAAATTAGTTTGAAAAAAAAAAAAAAAAAAAAAAAAAAAAAAAAAAAATATATATATATATATATATATATATATATATATATATATATATATAATATTCGGAACTGAGTAAATATTGTCCAAGAAATTACCACATTATGTTTCATGAATAATATCTACCATTATTATGGCTGTCATATGGTTCATACAAGTTTTCCCCACATATTAAAAACATCCAACATGTGGTTATCATGTGATCATCACATGTCTGACATGTGACCACCCCATGACTCAAAAACTTACTTAGCATTTTCTATGACATCTGTCATGAACTGCGGGTCCCAGCGGAAGTTGGAGGCAGACGGCACAATGGCGGCGTACAATGTTTGTTTTACTTTAGAGCAAGCGCCACTGAAGAATTCTGAATACTTGGCCTGTGAATATATGGATAATTAATATAATTGTATTTGAGTTATGTGGAACAGAAACTATACTTTTAGATTTTCTTAAATCAATGGACAGTGCATACTGCATAATTGGCCTGGGAACAAACAGCCAAATAAATAATCTTGTACCTGAAGTATACCAAACAGAATCAAAACTATTTTTTTTCTAATTAATGGACAGAACATACTGAATATTTAGACAGAAAAGAAATATTATAAATTTATTTAAAATACATCTGATTAGATAAAACAAAATCAAAACTTCATATATTCCCTTTAATTAATACAGAGCATAGAATTACATGTGAAACATTATCTGTGATCAGTATAAGGTTTAAGGCCGATTTTTCTAAGATTCTTACCTTCAAATAGCTACAGGAGGTATACAAATCATACAGATATGCCAGAATACATCGCTCTGCCGAGGAACAATCAGAAGGATTGTTAACATGTTTCACAACTCCACACAGTCTGTAATGCAGATCATATTTTTTAAATCATAAATTTCTTAATAACGTACCATTGCAAGTAAATGAGAAGACTGTATAATCACACCATAAATGACCTAGCTCAAATAAGAGGACCTATTAACCAAAAGTATATGTGATAAACATGCTTAACCCTTAATGAGATGGCTAATTATCATGCATTGAATGCATGAACTAAAATATATCAACTTCTTTGGGATGAGGGATGAAATTGCAATTTTGTGAATAAGTCGTGGGGTCCAGCAGGTTGCCAAAGCCAATAATATTTTTGGCTCCCAAAAAAGTTGGAAATTTGCTGATAGTCAGAAAAATCTCATCCCTGTTATGGAAATAATGTTGTGAACACCAGACTCACCCTTCAAAGGCCAGTGACGTCAGGTCTGGCATTACTAGAAGACATGCATGGTACTTCCTGAGGACAGCTACTATACACAGACACATGGAGGTGATGTAACTACCCAGCACTGGAGAACCCGACTTCAGCATGTTCTGAACTTCTTGGTTGTTGAATTCTTTCAGGGGCTAAGATAATAAGGTAGACATGTAAAAGTGGTGAGCTTTATGTTGAATATCATGCAGATTTAAAAAAGAGTTTTTTATATAGGACATGCCAAAAGAATTTTTCCAAAAGAAAATGAGCATGAACAAATCACCCTTCCTACCTGTATACAAAACTCTATGAGGCTGTTGATGTTGTGGCAGTGTTCCATCAGATCAAAAAGAAAGGAGATATTTTCCACCAGGGGGAGGTAGGTAGAATTTCCAGAAGAAAAGCTGCTGAACTGTTCCAGCACCTGCGTTGCACATGAAGACGTGACTGCATGCTGATCGTAATAGGAGAGCTTCTGAAAACGGGTGAATGTTCCTTCATAGTTTGGATCTCCGACATCCTTCTCTCCCTTTTCTTTCTTCTTTTTGGTTTTACCAATATCTCCACTGCTGATATCGATGCTGTTTTTCTTGCTGAACAACTTCATGATTTCCTTGCTGACTTTTTTGCACACGTGACGTGCTTCATCACGTGCTTTGCCTACGCCATACAGGACAATCATGCGTTGGTTGCACTCGTGATAGCAGGAGTCATCCTGCGGGATGGGGAAGTGTGTGGCATACTGCATGTGACGAGATAGTTTACGTGGGGGCTGTGGTTCTGACTGCTGAACACTAGGGGGAGCTGGAGTATGCTGGAACTCTTTATCCGATTTCACAGATGCTGAAGAAAATTGTTTTTATTAAATAATTATCATTACTGTTTATATTCTATCCTGATATTTTTGCTAACAAAAATGATCTGAAAAATAAACATATCTACGAATAATGAAAATAAACAAAAGATATTGTGTTTAATACAGAAAGTTTTATATTTATTCAGTCTTACAGCCAAAACTGTTGTAAATTAGAGAATAAAGGTTTTTAATCACAAAAAGAAATGATGTGCTCCTATAACTAATATCATCATGAAGGAATAAAGGATCCGTTATCAAAACAATGAGAGTCTTAATTGTNTAATTTTTTTTTTGTTGGAAAAATTAACATATCTACACATAATGAAAATAAACAAAAGATATTGTGTTTACAGAAACTTTTATATTTATTCAGCCTTATAGCCAAAACTGTTGTAAATCAGAGAATAAGGTTTTTAATCACAAAAAGAAATGATGTGCTCCTATACCTAATATCATCATGAAGGAATAAAGGATCTGTTATCAAAACAATGAGAGTCATAATTGTTAAACATATTTCTTGATTAACATTAACTGTTTTTAAATTATTGATAAAATTCTAAAACGTGTGTGCTTATCTAACTTTTCATTTAGATAGTGAACTTTTTTGCCTTATAATATGAAATGTTTTCTCCTTAAAAAAACACTCTTTATTATAAATATCTAATGTATAACAAGTTTCTTAATGGCAACATTACTGTCTCCACCTTTTAATCTGAAAAATAACATTCATTAAATGCAAAAACCTAGTATCTGAAGCAAGTGTTTAAAAAGTCAGAAGCAAGCACAGTGAAATAAAGCAATGACAACACTTTTCTATTAAAAGCCAACTTTGGACTGCTCTCTTAAACAAAGGAAGGACTGGAATGCTATAATAAGCAGTAATAAACTATTAATAACACATCCATCTAAATTATAGAAAAAAAAGGTCACCAAAAACGTCTCTTACTTCACATACTTCTGCCATACCCTAAAATAACTCCTATGGCATCATAAAGTACTGTCTTATAATGTGAAACTAATATCAAACATCTGTAACTAATATTAGTGATACTTTATAAACAATGTCAGACACTAAGCATGAACATGTAAGCAGTGATTGTTAACCCTTTCTGAACCAAGGTGCATAATGACAACTTTCTGAAAACCAATTGATTGTAATGTCTTTTTAACAAATTTAAATTAAATGCATATCTGCATTGAAAATGGCAAAATAATGTCCATTATAAGATGAGTCGGCTAATTTAAAGAATTTAAAATCGCCAGTGAAAGTCAAATTAAATTAAATACAAAGTGAAAGTGAAAGTTAAATTAAATAGTCTTATTTTAAAATAAAGTAGCTGCCATATACAGTGAAAACTGTGCCAAGTTTGTCGCAACATGCTCCAGAACTTGACAGAGAGGGTTGACATAGTGACATATGTATATACTAGGTGACAGAGAGGGTTGACATAGTGACATATGTATACTAGGTGACAATGAAATAATTACAAGCAACATGTAAACTGACAGCAGACTTCAAATTCACATTTATTTATACACATATATGATACTGATGTAAGTGACACTTTTACAACTACATGGGAGTCAAACTCTGTAGCTTCTCAATTTATGGCCTATGTATATCAAAAGAATCTTACAATATCTACTAACCGCACATTATTTCAGTCATTTATACACATTATTATTACATAAAATTGTTAATATTAACATGCTTTTATTCACCCAAATATACTTTTTCTCACACCCCCCCCCCAAAAAAAAAAATTGAATATACATGTAAATTCTAAGCTACATGTAAAAAGCCAGGTCAAATGTTAATATGCATATTATATATAGTGTAAAAAACTATGTAAAACAGGTCTTGACAGTAAATTTTAAAATAAACTAAGAATTTCATAAATATGCTGTCCTAAGTCAGTGTGTAAAGCACAATGAAAGCTTCCACAGTATATAGACATGTGCAGAACCAATCTGACCTGCAGATTAACTAACCCATGGATCAAATATGCCAAGATTGAATTTCTTTCCCCTGCAGAGATGGCTGCACAGGAGGTAGTGAATCCATTGCAAAGTGTGCACCATATTTGATTCCAGATCAGTTAGTCCTCGGGTCCACTTGGTTCTGAGCAGGTTCTACATTTTAAATGGAGACACACAGACAGACAAGTCAATGAATAATATAACAATCATAACAGTCATTTTTCATACGCTGTATAGTTACCAAATATATTTATAATTTACCAGGTGATAAAAAAATTGAATCCAAATGATTTTTGCAATGATGTCCCAGATGCAACACTACGTAGTAATATATATATATATATATGGAAATTTATATTATTATTCAATATGAAGGAGCAACTTAATGTTCAGTACATATTTCTATTCATCTGATATGCTAACAATTCATTCTGATAAAGATAATTATAAAGCACATGGCACAATTTAAACAGTTGTCTCTTGTACAGAGAATCTTAAATCTTGAGTATCAGAGTTTTTTTTGGGGGGGGGGATTTAAATTAATTTCCTAATATCATTTTAAACATTTGGCTGGTCAGACAGACACTAAAAAACATAGTATGAAAGTAAGAGCTAGTCCATTAAGGAAACAAAAAGGTTAAAGAGCAACAGTATTACAGTTTCCTTAGTTTGACATTTATATATCTGAAAAAAATGAACAACAGGACAAAAACTTCAGCACATTAGCGTCACACGAGGCTTTCACATGAATCTGCCAGCTAAGGTAGACAGGAATGCTGTCCAATGTGCAGACATGCAGGCAGTCCTGAGCAAATAATGACACTGACATTTTAGTAGCAAATAAATGGAGTATATTTAAAACTTGTTCACACCAGTTTAAACAAGACTGAACTTGAAATGTATATTAGATGCAAAAACTAAAATATGAATCATAAAATGTCCGTAAAGTTTGCTCTTGTTGACTTTAATCAACAAGGTGGAATTTTATAAACTGCCTGCAGTTCCTTCCCAAAAACTTACTTCTGAGCATTTTCTCACGTTTTATCTTTGTAAATGAAAACTGATGAGAACAAGATTTAACCTAGCCATGCATGGTTGTTAACTTGAAGGAAAAAGTGCAGATCACTTCCTGCTGTCTTAGCCAACTTGAGTGCTATCAAATCCTACCACATTATCCACAACAGGTCATGATCATGTCAACTATTCTAATGTTTCTGAATTGTAACTTAAAAATTAAAAGTATTACAGATTCTGATGAAAATTGGAATTATTCCGATTTAAAAACTAGACCCAAAATCTTTGAGAGAAAAAAAAAACATGAAATAAACATATCATGTTAATTTTAAAACTATATATAGAAAACTTTTGTTGTGCTTTATTCTAAGATAAATACTCACAAACATAGTTCTTTACAAAAGTTACCAAACTGATGACTTTGATCAGATTCTAGACCCAAACACTCAAGATAGCCAGGACAGCAAGATGTGACTAATTCAAAGTTTGCTGACAAGACGAGACCAATTCTTATACCTATGGCGCCCCCTACAGGGCTGATCTTTCCAAGATGTTCCTGCAACTCCCAGAGCATCTGGGTTGAGTGGTCCACTGGGAGAAGTATAAGAAATATCAACATATCAGTAAGGGTTATCTATATAATCTTCATCTATTGAGGCATAACAACTGTCCATTCTGGCAAAAAAAAGGATTTTTTGGGGGGTAAACAACAATTTTCCTGTACTTAGCAATAGTACATGAATCCGTTCCAACATTCAAAGCTAGTCCCTGTTCTTTCTTATGTTTTTTTTCTCTTAAGAGATTATTACAGAAGGTAGCCATCTATGAAGGTCCATATGGTCCAAATACAGATTCCAGCATGAATGTGTCATTTTGGTGGTAAAATGAAACTTAGTATATTTCTATGAGTTGTTTATTGATGTGTTTATTGTGAAATATGAATCCTATATAAAAAGTGGTTATCCCTGAAAATGTCTACTTCCAACTGTAGACAACATAGCAGTGATACTACAGTAACTGTTGTGTAAAATGTCTACTTCCAACTGTAGACAACATAGCAGTGATACTACAGTAACTGTTGTGTAAAATGTCTACTTCCAACTGTGGACAACGTAGCAGTGATACTAGAGTAACTGTTGTGTACAATAGCACGTATCACACACAATTTTTCTAAAATTTGGTTTTTCATCCTGATTTAACATCAGTGTTCACTATATATTCAATTTCTAAACCTTGATTTAAAATAACTTCAAAGTTAAAACCAGACTGAACTGTTTAAAAGTATCAATAACACAGTAGCAAAACATTTAACAGTGAATTTTCTATAAAAACGAAAAAAAAACCAACTTATAGTTAAACTTTAATCTAGCTCTTAAGACAAATTTTTAAATTCATGAAAATTCTAGAATGTAGAAGTTTAGTTCTTAACCCCTGCAAATGCAGCTACCGCAAAACAGATCCATTGTATCTGACATTCAGCAAATAAAGCAGTATTTTATGCTTTATAAGTGTAAAAATATCAAACACAGAGATAAGTACAATATTTCTTAAGCTAAATAACTACAAAATATGTAGGACTCCATGTTCAAAATGTGTCTTTTTCTACGTCAGAAATAGTCTAAATGATGTCACCATGAGTCTAACTCATTGACCAAGGGACTTATTATATATAAGACAAGATTAATGATATCAAGAAATCACTGTCCAGTAATGTTACATCAACAAAGAATACAGACTTAAATATTATAAAGTGCTATAAAGACCTCTTAAAACACTTTTATGCACCTAAAAAATGTGTGAAAATCGACACAACATTCTGTTAAATCCTCTCACACTAAAATACATGGAGAAGAGAATGAGAAGATTGATACTATTTTTTCAGGTAGAAAGAAGGTGTTAATTATATTTGTAAAATCAAGATGCAAGTTGCAAAGTGATGTTCTGAATATTTACCATTCATATCTGGACTCTTAGGATCATCTCTGAAGGCAAAAATGTCATAATCTGGGTCGAAGGTATCTGTGTCTACATCCATCTTTTGTTCTTCTTGTGCGGCCTAAAAAGTAAGAGTGAATTATGATTATTTTATATGTCAGCTATGACATGATAATCAACTTAGCCTGGTCACACGTTGATAACNAATAAACATATCTACGAATAATGAAAATAAACAAAAGATATTGTGTTTAATACAGAAAGTTTTATATTTATTCAGTCTTACAGCCAAAACTGTTGTAAATTAGAGAATAAAGGTTTTTAATCACAAAAAGAAATGATGTGCTCCTATAACTAATATCATCATGAAGGAATAAAGGATCCGTTATCAAAACAATGAGAGTCTTAATTGTTATACATGTTTCTTGATTAACATTAACTGTTTTGAAATAATCAATAAATTCTAAAATGTGTGTGCTTATCTAATTTTACGATAGATAGTGAACTTTTACGCCTTATAATATGAACTGTTTTCTCCTTAAAAAAAAAACTCTCTTTATTACAAACATTTTATGTATAACAAGTTTCTTATTGGCAACATTACTGTCTCCACCTTTTAATCTGAAAAATAACATTCATTAAATGCAAAAACCTAGTATCTGAAGCAAGTGTTTAAAAAGTCAGAAGCAAGCACAGTGAAATAAAGCAATTATAATTTACGACAACACTTTTCTACTAAAAGCCAACTTTGGACTGCTCTTTTAAACAAAGGAAGGACTGGAATGCTAGAATAAGCAGTAATAAACTATTAATAACACATCCATCTAAAATTATAGAAAAAAAGGTCACCAAAAACGTCTCTGACTTCCCATACTTCTGCCATACCCTAAAATAACTCCTATGGCATCATAAAATACTGTCTTATAATGTGAAACTAATATCAAACATCTGTAACTAATATTAGTGATACTTTATAAGCAATGTCAGACGCTAAGCATGAACATCGAAGCAGTGATTGTTAACCCTTTCTGAACCAAGGTGCATAATGACAACTTTCTGAAAACCAATTGATTGTAATGTCTTTTTTACAAATTTAAATTAAATGCATATCTGCATTGAATGTCCATTATAAGATGAGTCGGCTAATTTAAAGAATTTAAAATCGCCAGTGAAAGTTAAATTAAATTAAATACAAAGTGAAAGTGAAAGTTAAATTAAATGGTCTTATTTTAAAATAAAGTAGCTGCCATATACAGTGAAAACTGTGCCAAGTTTGTCACAACATGCTCCAGAACTTGTCAGAGAGGGTTGACATAGTGACATATGTATATACTAGGTGACAATGAAATAATTACAAGCAACATGTAAACTGACAGCAGACTTTAAATTCACATTTATTTATACACATATATGATACTGATGTAAATGACACTTTTACAACTACATGGGAGTCAAACTCTGTAGCTTCTCAATTTATGGCCTATGTATATCAAAAGAATCGTACAATATCTACTAACCGCACATTATTTCAGTCATTTATATACATTATTATTACATAAAATTGTTAATATTAACATGCTTTTATTCACCCAAATATACTTTTTCTCACCTCCCCCCCCCCCCNTGCAATAAAAAAGTAAACACCTGACAAATACACGCTCCCTCCAATATTCCCCGTCACCAGAGCATAGTCTTTTCTGATGTGATTGAATAGGCGAAAACGATATTGTTAGTCATGTGAAAGAGACCTGTTTGAAAGCGATATTATGATATCATCCTAAAACGCTGCAGTTAGCACGCCATAAACTCATTTCAATAAATACACCCCGCTGTATAAATGATGCGTCAGCATTATTTCGTATCGAAATGCTTATTTCAATATAATTTAAGGGGATAAGGAAAAATTTAAACACATTGCCTCCACCTCCCCCCCCCCCCCCAAAAAAAAAAAAAAAAAAAAAAAGGAATATACAAATGACTTCTAAACTACATGTAAAAAGCCAGGTCAAGTGTTAATATGCATATATATATAAAGTGTAAAAAACTATGTAAAACAGGTCTTGACAGTAAATTTTAAAATAAATTAAGAATTTCATAAATATGCTGTCCTAAGTCAGTGTGTAAAGCACAATGAAAGCTTCCACAGTATATGGACATGTGCAGAACCAATCTGACCTGCAGATTAACTAACCCATGGATCAAATCTGCCAAGATTGAATTCCTTTGCCCCTGCAGATACAGAAGCATGGGAGGCAGTAAATCCATGGCAAAGTGTGCACCATATTTGATTCCAGATCAGTTAGTCCTCGGGTCAACTTGGTTCTGAACAGATCCTACATTTCAAGTGGAGACACACAGACAGACAAGTAAATAAATAATATAACAATCATTACAGTAATTTTTATATGCTGTATAGTTACCAAATATATTTATAATTTACCAGGTGATAAAAAAATTTAATCCAAATGATTTTTGCAATGATGTCCCAGATGCAACACTACGTAGTAATATATATATATATGGAAATTTATATTATTATTCAATATGAAGGAGCAACATAATGTTCAGTGCATATTTCTATTCATCTGATATGCTAACAATTCTTTCTGATAAAGATAAATATAAAGCACAATTTAAACAGTTGTCTCTTGTATAGAGGACCTTAAATCTTGAGTATCGGAGTTTTTTTTTTTTGGGGGGGGGGGGGCATTTAAATTAATTTCCTAATATCATTTTAAAGATTTGGCTGGTCAGACAGACAGTGAAAAACATACTGTGAAAGTAACAGCCAGTCCATTAAGGAAACAAAAAGGTGAAAGAGCAACAGTATTACAGTTTCCGTAGTTTGACATTTATATATCTGAAAAAAATGAACAACAGGACAAAAACTTCAGCACATTAGCGTCACACGAGGCTTTCACATGAATCTGCCAGCTAAGGTAGACAGGAATGCTGTCCAATGTGCAGACATGCAGGCAGTCCTGAGCAAATAATGACACTGACATTTTAGTAGCAAATAAATGGAGTATATTTAAAACTTGTTCACACCAGTTTAAACAAGACTGTACTTGATATATATATTAGATACAAAAACTGACATATGAATCATAAAATGTCCGTAAAGGCCCCCCAAGTTTGCTCTTGTTGACTTTAATCAACAAGGTGGAATTTTAAAAACTGCCTACTGCTGAGCATTTTGTGTAAAAAAAAAAAAAAAAAAAATCTGGCTTCTGATTTCAGCAGCTTTCATATTGTAAGTTTTATCTTTTAAATGAAAACTGATGAGAACAAGGTTTAACCTAGCCATGCATGGTTGTTAACTTGAAGGAAAAAGTGCAGATCACGTCCTGCTGTCTTAGCCAACTTGAGTGCTATAAAATTCCACACATCTTCCATAACATTTAATGATCATGTCAACTATTCTAAATTTTCTTAATTGTAACTTAAAAATTAAAAATATTATAGATTCTGATGAAAATTGATATTATTCTAACTTGAAAACTAGACCCAAAATCTTTGAGAGAAAAAAACATGAAATAAACATATCATGTTAATTTTAAAACTATATATAGAAAAACTTTTGTTGTGCTTTTTTCTTAGATAAATACTCATAAACATAGTTCTTTACAAAAGTTACCAAACTGATGACTTTGATAGATTCTATCCCCAAACACTCAAGATAGCCAAGGCAGCAAGATGTGACTAATTCAAAGTTTGCTGACAAGACGAGACCAATTCTTATACCTATGGCGCCCCCTACAGGGCTGATCTTTCCAAGATGTTCTTGCAACTCCCAGAGCATCTGGGTTGAGTGGTCCACTGAGAGAAGTATAAGAAATATCAACACATCAGTAAGGGTTATCTATATAATCTTCATCTATTGAAGACATAACAACTGTCCATTCTGGCAAAAAAAATGGATTTTTGGGGGGTAAACAACAATTTTCCTGTACTTAGCAATAGTTCATGAATCCGTTCTGGACAACATTCAAAGCTAGTCCCTGTTGTTTTTTATGTTTTTTTTTCTCTTAAGAGATTATTACAGAAGGTAGCTATCTATGAAGGTCCATATGGTCCAAGCAAAGATTCCAGCATGAATGTGTCATTTTGGTGGTAAAATGAAATTTAGTATATTTCTATGAGTTGTTTATTGATGTGTTTATTGTGAAATATGAATCCTATATAAAAAGTGGTTATCCCTGAAAATGTCTACTTCCAACTGTAGACAACATAGCAGTGATACTACAGTAACTGTTGTGTAAAATGTCTACTTCCAACTGTAGACAACATAGCAGTGATACTACAGTAACTGTTGTGTAAAATGTCTACTTCCAACTGTGGACAACGTAGCAGTGATACTACAGTAACTGTTGTGTACAATAGCACGTATCACACACGAGGGTTGGTTCATAAACAAAAAAAGTTCTTTTTTTCTAAAATTTGGTTTTTAATCCTGATTTAACATCAGTGTTCACTATATATTCACTTTCTAAACCTTGATTTAAAATAACTTCAAAGTTAAAACTAGACTGAACTGTTTAAAAGTATCAATAACACAGTAGCATAACATTTAACAGTGAATTTTCTATAAAAAAAAACAACTAATAGTTAAACTTTAATCTAGCTCTTAAGACAAATTTTTAAATTCATGAAAATTCTAGAATGTAGAAGTTTAGTTCTAAACCCCTGCAAATGCAGCTACCGCAAAACAGATCCATTGTATCTGACATTCAGCAAATAAAGCAATATTTTATGCTTTATAAGTGTAAAAATATCAAACACAGAGATAAGTACAATATTTCTTAAGCTAAATAACTACAAAATATGTAGGACTCCATGTTCAAAATGTGTCTTTTTCTATGTCAGAAATAGTCTAAATGATGTCACCATGAGTCTAACTCATTGACCAAGGGACTTATTATATATAAGACAAGATTAATGATATCAAGAAATCACTGTCCAGTAATGTTACATCAACAAAGAATACAGACTTAAATATTATAAAGTGCTATAAAGACCTCTTAAAACACTTTTATGCACCTAAAAAATGTGTGAAAATCGACACAACATTCTGTTAAATCCTCTCACACTAGAATACATGGAGAAGAGAATGAGAAGATTGATACTATTTTTTCAGGTAGAAAGAAGGTGTTAATTATATTTGTAAAATCAAGATGCAAGTTGCAAAGTGATGTTCTGAATATTTACCATTCATATCTGGACTCTTAGGATCATCTCTGAAGGCAAAAATGTCATAATCTGGGTCGAAGGTATCTGTGTCTACATCCATCTTTTGTTCTTCTTGTGCGGCCTAAAAAGTAAGAGTGAATTATGATTATTTTATATGTCAGCTATGACATGATAATCAACTTAGCCTGGTCACACATTGATAACATGATAATCAACTTAGCCTGGTCACACATTGATAACATGATAATCAACTTAGCCTGGTCACACATTGATAACATGATAATCAACTTAGCCTGGTCACACATTGATAACATGATAATCAACTTAGCCTGGTCACACATTGATAACATGATAATCAACTTAGCCTGGTCACACATTGATAACATGATAATCAACTTAGCCTGGTCACACATTGATAACATGATAATCAACTTAGCCTGGTCACACATTGATAACATGATAATCAACTTAGCCTGGTCACACATTGATAACATGATAATCAACTTAGCCTGGTCACACATTGATAACATGATAATCAACTTAGCCTGATCTCACATTGATAACACAGTCACGAGAAAAAAAAACTGAAAAAAAAAACAAAAAAACAAAAACAAGAATTGTGAATGAACTTAAAAGCAGCCCTGCCAAGAGAATGTTTGGCCTGATCATGTCAAAACAGACCACAACTATGTGTCCCTGAGATACAGCTCATAGACAAGTTAATCTCTTCGTGAACAAGGCACAGGTGCTCTAATACTGAGAAAATAATCCTAAGCAACAACAATCCACTTTTATACCAAAAACTTGGATATTAGGTCCTTGTATTTTTCACATATTATTAACTGTATTGTAAGATTTTGACAGACTGGCAAATTTAATCTACCTCAATTTTTCTAACTCTAAGACTTGTAAAAGAAAAAAAAATACCAAAAGTATATGTCAACTAAATCATAATTAAAAACAAGTATAAGGTTCCACCTCTGGTTTCACACTGGGGTTTTCACTCTTCACACTGGCCAGCTCCCCAAGGCTGTCACCAGGGGCAGTGTGCATGGGAGGTGATGCTTCTAAATCTCCTCTTGAGATTAACGTACACATGTAGGCATCATGGGAGAAAACATCATGGCGGATGAGCTCGCAGAACAGGGAAATGAGATTGGAGAAAGCAGTCCTGTTTTCAGCAGATGGACTCTCATCTATGTTTTGAAAATATGACATTTGATTTACAATAATAATTGAATTTCAAACAATTAAATTGAAATGGTGTTAATATTTAAGGGTATTAAATTTTCAAATAACAAATATATGAAATATGTTATTCCAATGCTGACGAGTAGTACTCATACATATAGTCATGATTTTTCTTCTCAAAAATGATAACTATATGACATTTCTAACAGCCATGGCTGTTTGAAAGCAAATAAAATTGCTGTATGAAGAATACTGTATCAAGACATTGTTTATAATAATATATATTTAGGAATGCTGTACACACCCAGAACAGGTGCCCTGTGATCTAGATACTGGATCAGAAGATTCTGGAAGATAGGTAGACCACTGGGGGCCATTGCTTCTGAGCCCAGGGAGTCCTTCTCATCCAAGATTTCAGACTCCTGAAGCTGAAGAGTTAATAGTTATTATTCCATCACACTTGAATATTTCTTTACTGAAGTGACTTTTTAACTGGTAAAAAAAAAAAAAAAAAAAAAAAAAAATGGCGGATGTAAGCAGAGCGTACAGCGGCGCCTGTCACATGACATAAGCCGTGTATTCATCATGTACATGTAGGTTTCANTATATATATATATATATATAAGAATTTACATTTCAATTTTATATAATATCAAAAGCCTTGAATTATCTTATTATATACTCACGATTACTGGTTAAACTGAAAAATGAAATGAGACAAAGGCAAAAAAAAAATTCAGACAAAGTACAATCCAGCCTGGACTAGGTTATATTCCACCCAGTTGTTACCTCTGAAGTCAGTTCATTTTGTCGTCTCTCCAACAACTTAGCGACAACAATAGCCCTGTGACACCCGGAGCGTTTCACACTGACGGCCCACTCACACAACAAGTTCACGGTGGCCTCATCTGTCGACACCGGCTGGAAATATTGTTTTTAATAAAATTAAATATGACAAGAACTTGTCTAGCTTCTCAGAAATTAAGAATCATTATAATATTTATCACTACTTAAATATTACAGAGTTGAATAGAATAACTCAATTTTGATGAAAACTAGATAGTCACTACCGTTACTCTGACCCGTCCACACACCTCCTGATCCTTGCTCTGCCCTGCAGCAAATATCTTGTTATACAATGTATCCAGGGATGCCGTCTGCTCCACGCGCTCAAAATTCTGTCTGTCCAGTGACTCAAGAGCTCCCAGGATTCGACTAATAGTGAAGCCTGAAAAAGTTGAAAATCATGTCAATTTTGAAATTCATTTGTGCACTCGTTTGATTATGTTATAAGCTTTAACTTTTAAATTTCTACACTTACTTGAGCTATACCTAACAAAGACAGGGGGAGACACTAATTGTCTCACATATGGGACAGTGCTAGGACTGATACACCAGTGAATTGTGCTCAACCCATACAGAAACTGAGGAAGCTCACTGTAGTGATGGAAATCTTGAATGTGGTACAGCTCAAGTGTGGAAATTGTTTAAGCTTACAACAAAATCTTGTCAAACATAACGTGTCCTTAATGGTCAAATATAGTTATCAATATTTGGTACAGATAAAGAAGCATGGCATGTCACTACAGGAGCTGCAGGTAGTGGCTATTACTCAGCAAACAAATGAAAAATAGAGGTGCTTGGCATATTTTGTAGTGTAATGCCATGTTACTCTTTAAATAACAGAAATGAACAGTAAGCACTTTAAGCTCTGCCCCCTACCTATTGTTGACTGCTGGCACTTGTCTGAGGACCAACGTACTTCAGCAGCTTGACCGCGCAGTTTGATCTGGTGCTCAGCTGACCTGATCAGAGCTCGCAGCTGGAGTTGGAGAAAAAATGTCCGCAATTATAAAACATACCTGTCAAATTTCAACATCTGATGCATAAAGTCTAAATAAAAATAGACTAAAAAGTTCCAAGTATTATACAGTATCTATAATATTCACAGTTTTCCCCCATTGAAAAGATGGCATGATTACAGTATAATTGGTCAGTCACCTCGGCATTATTAGGTCCAGGTGGCATAGGTAAACTGGAAGGTGCACATGGCAGTAGATCCAGGGGTGACCCACACAGGACGCTGGCACTCTTCCCCTCGCCTAGATTATTCCATACCACAGCACTGGGACACTTCAGTACGATAGTCTGCAGCACTGCGGACAGCCCCAGAAGAAGTCCTCGGTGCTGAGAACAGCTGGTGTACTCCCCAAAAGCCCCAAGGACTGGGTTGGGCTGAGGAGCACTGGTGGTAGTAAGTTGTCTGGAAGATAGTTTCGGGGAAATAATTGTTAAAATGACTTCTAATATTATCATAATTGTGAAAGTGGAAATGTTATATTTAGTAAAAGTCATGTACATTTTTGGCGGAACGTTTTTTTTTTTTTTTTTTTTTAAAAATTAGGAACTACAAATTTGAAAAATTAGATATTTTTTACATTATAAAGATCACTCATTAGGGAAATAAGGTGGACAATAAAATAGCAATATAATATTATACAGGTAATTCAATCAAAAATCATTTAGAGTGAATGTGAGAATATAGAGTATATGAAAGTGAAGCAAGAGAAAAATTCACTTCTTAACATAGTTTGTCAAAATTGCCAAAAATAACTTTTAAATATAATTTTTATTAATAAATTTAATCAAAACCATGTCCTCAAACCTCTATGTTACTTTTAAATGTAAGAATTCATGCAAATATCTTTACGTAGTGTTGAAAATTTCAGTTCAAATGACCACCTTAGGTGGCAAATATTTGAAAAAAATTCAAAAAAATACCTAAAAGCTAATTTTTGGAGTGAATGTTTCAAATTATTCTTTAAACCTGCAAACATAATAGCAATTTTTTAAAATTATCTACAAGAAAAAAAAGAAAAAAAGTCATGGTGCATAAAAAGATGATTATCTGTTTTCATGTAGGATGCATGACATACAGAGATCAACTTATAACTTGATTTTCATAATAAGTAAAAAATTTAGTCAAAAATCTGCTAATTCTTGATATTTTTATAACTTTAATCAAATCAAAATCATTGACTAATATCCATCCATTTCCACGTAATTCAAATATGACTCTACTATGACGTTAGAATTTATACAGGTGTCTATTTGTTGAAAAATGTCAGGACTGTCAACCATCTGAACTAACATATTTTTTTAAAAATAATATTTCAAATAATAAATCAAGATCACATTTAGTTTCTACAATTTTATTTTTGTAACCTGCAAATATTGTAGGTATCAGGCAAATAAAGACTTGAATGGGGCCAATCCAAGAAATACATTTAAGCATTTTGCTTAAAAAAACCATTTGCATAAAAGTTGCCCCAAAAAACTGTAAATTTCTCAAAAACATTCTTCCTTCAGGAATTCCATGATTTTTGCTGTGATTGCTTCCCACAGTTCACCCATCATTTGAGGGTTGTTCTGGTTCACTTTATCATAAAGATACCCCCACAGAAAAAAATCTGGGTGAATGCCATGCCCACTCAACATCATTTGGTGATTAATTTATAAATTAATTAAGTGATAATGAAAACTAAACTAAGTGGTCATTTTATGAATATTTTATGAATATTTAATGCTACTGAAATATCAGCTAATCAATTAGCAAATAAATCAATTATTCATTTAAACATATAACAATGTATATCATGATGTTCTTGATGGTGATGATGAACTGTGGGGATTAAGCTGTCGCCATGTACTTTTCTAGTCTTATTTCAATCTAAACTAATATTATGTCAGAAATAATTAATATTTTTATAACTTAGTCAAATCAAAATAATTGGCTAATATCTATGTATTTCCTCTTAATCCAAAAATGACTTGACTTTAATGTTAGAATTTATGCAGGTCTCAATCAGTAAAAAAAATTTGATTTTTCTGACCACTTGAACCAAAATTTTAAAGAAGAATGCAAATGAAAAGGAACATTAAAAGGGTGTTGATTCCGGTTAATTTCGGTTATTAATTCTTATAACCTACTTTTAAACGCAGTAGGTAATAAAAACCAAAGACTCAAGATAAATGTTTTGCATGGAAAAAAAATTGTATACCTTTTTTTTTTTTTTTTTTTGTAATCAACATTATGAAGTTGTGGAAGGATATGACAAACTTTCAGAAACTGTTTGAATTGATAGAAATTTGTGGTGATCCATTGATTTATGAAGGTGCCCCAACTGCTTTTCTAGTCTGATTTCAAACTTAAACTAGTCTAGTACAGTATCAGGCATTCTCAAATTATTAATATTAATTTTTTTGTTTAGGAATCAAAATCAAAATAATTGCCTTATATCTTTTCATTTCCCCTTAATCCAATGAAAGATTTTACATTGATGTTAAAATTTATGCAAGTCACTTTTTGTTGAAATATTCCAATCTAATTAACCAACATTTTTTATGAACAATGCATTTCTCAAAGCTGAGCAAAGCAATGCACCATTGGCAGTGAAGTCAAGAAATGAGTTATGCCAGTCCACAAAAAGAGAACCATTGTGTTACATTCTCTTTATTTTCTCACATACCTCTCCATACACGTGCACACACACACACATACCCCTCCACACACGTGCACACATACACTCACATACTAACATATTTCACCATTCACAGACATGAAACAAAATTCTTTAAAATTCATAAAGAACTAGTTATAACATGAGTTGTTCACTGTATATGACATACAAGAATGTAATTATATTGCATACAGTGGACGATGAGTCGTTGTAACTGACTTATACCACAACTGGCGCTTCTAACAATAGGATGAATGCACCGAAGTGTATGAAAATACAGACAAACCTGTACACCTAATACAAGTGCAATTGTCCTATTGTTCAAAGCCCCAGCAGTGGTATAATACAAAATGTTCGGCTAATTTTTTTTTTTTTGCAAAAACAAACCAGAGCAGAGACCTACCCGTTAGCGTTAGCTGTGACCAGCGGCGACTGAGAGCGTGGCGTGGAGTAACCTGTCTCATTGCACATCAGGGCCAACTTTTTACAACAGAAGTGGGCCAGCTTTCTGGAGATACTCTGGGCACACGTAATCTCATCTACATACTGGAATGATAGGACAACAACAACTTTTTACAACAAAGTGGGCCAGCTTTCTGGAGATACTCTGGGCACACGTAATCTCATCTACATACTGGAATGATAGGACAACAGGGACTCCAATATTTAAGACAAATATTGAGAACAAGGCAGCAAAGCTGTCAAATGTACAGACAAAAACCAGAAAATAAAAACGCAGGAAATAGGATACTGTCAATTCTGATGAACTAATGTATTATGCTTACTGTAACTGCATAGCCAACATCAAATTCTTATTCTGCATAACACTGGATTAGGATGAAAGTAAAATGTGTATCAAGCATCAGACTAAGTTCCCATACCTAGATCAATCTAACAGGATCAATCCAACTCCAAGGGGTTTCTCACTAAATTGCTTTCAGTTTGAGAGTCTTAGGATTCTGGCATGCCAGTTTCAGTAGGCGTGAGAGACAACTAAGCCACTTACATTGATTGCAATTTAGCGAGAATTCCCATGGAGATAGATCGATCCACAGTTAGCGTGATAGGGTCTGGAAATAGTCCCTAAGGTGTCAGGCTGATAAGAGTTAAACTTTGGAAATGCCAGAATGAGGTACAGTGAAAATTACACACA